TACAGTCTGCTGTACCCGGTGTTCATTGGAAGTCCCCCATTTAAGTACTAACTGAAGCAGTGGTTCTCAGCCTGTGGGTCCCCGGGTGTTTTGGCATACAATTCCCAGAAATCCCAGCCAGTTTACCAGCCGTTAGGATTTCTGGGAGATGAAGGCCAAAGCAACTGGGGATCCACAGGTTGGGAATCACGAAACTAAAGCTAACCTTGCATACTAACCTTGCATAACTTCCAAGATCAGAGGGAAACTGGTGTCTTAAAGTAGTTTTGTACTCTGTATAAAAGATATGCGACTCTGATGTTGAAGAAACTCCACAAACATCTAATTTGTACTCTTCTTATGCCCATCTTAAGATCTTTGGTGAATGTAGTCATTGGTTGATGTTAACCTTTAAGAAGTGCGGCCTCAAAGGTTCTCTCCTAATAGTTCCCAGATGCCCCCATCATTGGAAATAATTGTGGTTATACCCCCAAAAGTCTTTTGTGTTTATAGCTTTAGAAGTTTTGGAATGTACATTACCTCTGAAATCCTAATACATCACACAATACAGCTGGCATCCTTCTGGTTAGTCTCAATTAGAGTAGATCCATTCAGTCAATTTTGAATGGCAAGCCAACAGGCAATTAAATCCCATTGATTTGCTTGGTCTACTCTACTCAAGACTGACAACAGCATTTAGGTCAGCAATGAAATAATGATGCACAGGGGCACACGGCAGCACCTTCACTTCAGCCAAATATTTGGATTGCTTTATTTTACGGTTCTGACCATGTCTCCCACTCCCTATTTTCTGATATAATCATTTGCTTTGACAACACTCTTAAATAGTTATCTAGATACCTCATCTTTCCTTCTTAGTTAAAAAATAGACTCTTTAAAAAAACAAGCATGACTGTTGTCCTGTGTACATGACAGAATTTATTTCCAAGTAAATAAATTTCAATGTAAAAACATACAGTATCAGTCTTTCCATTAGGTGCTAAATCAAATGTTATCCTCCAAGTCCATTGAAATCAATGGGACTTACCATAACTAAAAAGTTCCACACATTTAGTAATTTGTTCTCTTTAGATCGATACTGTATTTTATGCTTTGCTAAATGTAGTATGTGGTACAGAGAAAGAAAATGCTTAATTTTTTATTCCCGTTTTACAAATTCATGGGATCTGCCATTAGTGACTAAGCACCGGGCTGTGTTTCTGTAGCCCATGTCCATCCATCTCTCTGAACACACAACAGGTAGAGAGGTATGCCTCATTAGCTATAGCATCATTAGGTGTTACTCAACTTCTCTGTCTACAGAGAATGTTCCTGCAACTGTTATTCAAAGAAGTCATGGCTCATTATATCCCAAGGAAAATTTTTGCTGCATTTGTATCACATTATCTAGCACTATTTATTGTTGCAATGAAAGCTAAATGATGGTATTGCTTGGGCATATGGGAATAGAAATGCATCTGCTCTGGAACTAATCTCCAGGCCTGGGATTCATTTGCTGGGCAGTTGCCTTTGCCTGACAAGGCCTTCTTTCAGGACAGCTGTCCTTCTGCAAAAGTAAGTCACACCAAACACTGTGAAGTCCCATTAATTTAATTATCTAATGCCTTCTGGGGAATAAAGCCCCACACAGCCAAACTTGTCAGTCTCAATTAATGAAAACCAATTTAATGTCACTTATTCCTTTTTTTCCAGTGGAGCCAAAACCCTCCTCAAAGCAATGGCAAAAGCTTGCTATTAATTTCTTTTTGTTTTACAAATACTATACTTTCAGAAGAGGACAGAAATGTATAAACCAGTGTTTCTCAACTTGGAGGTTGGGTCCTCGGGGGGAGGGGGTTCTAATGAGGATGTCAAAGGTCACCAAAGACTGGGTTGTAGGTTTTTTCAGGCTATATGGCCATGGTCTAGAGGCATTCTCTGACATTTTGCCTGCATCTATGGCAAGCATCCTCAGAGGTAGTGTGAGTCACTGAAGACTATCAGAAAACACAGTTTTGTTTTTTTTGGTCCTAGGGGTTCTGTGTGGGAAGTTTGGCTGAATTCTATCGTTAGTGGGATTCAGAATGTGCTTTAATTGTAGGTGAACTATAAATCCCAGCAAGTCCAACTCCCAAATATCAGGGTCTATTTCCCCCCAACTCCACCAGTGTTAACATTTGGGAATATTGAGTTTTCGTGCCATGTTTGGTCCAGATCCATCATTGTTTGAGTCTACAGTGCTCTCTGGATGTAGGTGAACTACAACTCCAAAACTTAAGGTCAATGCCCACCAAACCCTTCCAGTATTTTCTGTTGGTCATGGGAGTTCTGTGTGCCAAGTTTGGTTCAATCCCATACTTTGATCCTTTGAATTCCCTTTGATTGTAGGTTAACTATAAATCCCAGCAACTGCAACTCCCAAATGACAAAATCAAGCCCCCCCCCAACCCCACCAGTGTTCAAATTTGTGCATATTGGGTTGTTGTTGTTGTTCATTCGTTCAGTCGTCTCCGACTCTTCGTGACCTCATGGACCAGCCACGCCAGAGCTCCCTGTCGGCCGTTACCACCCCCAGCTCCCTCAAGGTCAGTCCAGTCACTTCAAGGATGCCATCCATCCATCTTGCCCTTGGTCGGCCCCTCTTCCTTTTGCCTTCCACTTTCCCCAGCATAATTGACTTCTCTAGGCTTTCCTCATGATGTGGCCAAAGTACTTCAACTTTGTCTCTAGTATCTTTCCCTCCAGTGAGCAGTCGGGCTTTATTTCCTGGAGGATGGACTGGTTGGATCTTCTCGCAGTCCAAGGCACTCTCAGCACTTTCCTCCAACACCACAGCTCAAAAGCATCGATCTTCCTTCGCTCAGCCTTCCCTAAGGTCCAGCTCTCACATCCGTAGGTTACTACAGGGAATACCATGGCTTTGACTAGGCGGATCTTTGTTGCCAGTCTGATGTCTCTCCTCTTTACTATTTTATCGAGACTGGACATTGCTCTCCTCCCAAGAAGTAAGCGTCTTCTGATTTCCTGGCTACAGTCTGCATCTGCAGTAATCTTTGCACCTAGAAATACAAAGTCTGTCACGGCCTCCACGGTTTCTCCCTCTATTTTCCAGTTGTCAATCATTCTTGTTGCCATAATCTTGGTGTTTTTGACGTTTAGCTGCAACCCGGCTTTTGCGCTTTCTTCTTTCACCTTGATTAGAAGGCTCCTCAGCTCCTCCTCGCTTTCGGCCATCAAAGTGGTGTCATCTGCATATCTAAGGTTGTTAATGTTTCTTCCAGCAATTTTCACCCCAGCCTTGCATTCGTCAAGCCCCGCACATCGCATGATGTGTTCTGCATACAAGTTAAAAAGGTTGGGTGAGAGGATGCAGCCTTGCCGTACGCCTTTCCCAATCTTGAACCAGTCTGTTGTTCCATGGTCAGTTCTGACTGTTGCTACTTGGTCCTTGTACAGATTTCTCAGGAGAGAGACAAGGTGGCTTGGGATGCCCATCCCACTAAGAACTTGCCACAATTTATTATGATCCACACAGTCAAAGGCTTTAGAATAGGTCAATGAAGCAGAAGTAGATGTTTTTCTGAAACTCCCTGCCTTTCTCCATTATCCAGCGGATATTGGCAATTTGGTCTCTCGTTCCTCTACCTTTTCTAAACCCAGCTTGAACATCTGGCAACTCTCGCTCCATGTATTGCTGGAGTCTTCCTTGCAGGATCTTGAGCATTACCTTACTGGCATGAGAAATAAGGGCCACTGTACGGAAGTTTGAGCAGTCTTTCGCATTTCCCTTTTTTGGTATGGGGATATAAGTTGATTTTTTCCAGTCTGATGGCCATTCTTCTGTTTTCCATATTTGCTGGCATATGGCATGCATCACCTTGACAGCATCATCTTTTAAGATTTTAAACAGTTCAGCTGGGATCCCGTCATCTCCTGCTGCCTTGTTGTTAGCAATGCATATTGGGTATTTGTGTCAAATTTGGTCCAGTGAATGAAAATACCTCTTGCATATCAGATATTTACATTACGATTGATATCAGTAGCAAAATTCCAGTTATGAAGTAGCAACGAAAATAATTTTATGGTTGGGGGTCACCACAATATGAGGAACCGTATTAAAGGGTTGTGGCATTAGGAAGATTGAGAAACACTTGATTAAAAGCATTTCCCCTATTACAGGAGAGAAGCAAGAAGTAGTTCTTGCCGTTAATTGCCATCGATTTGGCTGCAATTTGTGGCAACCTTCTGAAGCTGGATCTACACTGCAACATAATCCACATTATTTGCTTTGAACCAGATAATATGAGTCTGCACTGCTACATAATCCAGTTCAAAACAGTTAATCCGTATTTTATGCCAGTGTAGATGGGATGGGGTCTGAATAAAAGATCTCCCAGGGTGCATCTATATTATAGAATTAATGCAGTTTGACACTACTTTAACTGCAATGGGTCATTGCTCTGTCATGCACAAAATTATTATTATTGCATAAAAGTTATCTTCTGGGTAGGTACATGCATAAGGTGTATATGAAGCATAAATGAATGTTGTATTTAAAATAGGGTCCCATTTGCAAGACCTCTCATTTAGGTACATATATGCAAATAAAGATATATGTCAAATCCAATCCAAAAGAATTCTGATTCCAAATATTTCGGATAAGGCGTGTGACTTGGAGGGGGAATGACGCAACCTCCTCCCTTTTAACACTATTTAAAATGCTCTAAAGAAGGGTTGCTGTGATCTCAAGATCCTTGCAAGACGCCTTTGCCTGCCTCCTCTTTCCTGGGGCAAGGAGTGGAATACTAAGAGCAAGGTCCACTTCCTGCACATGCGCAGTCGAGGACCTGAAATCCCTCTCATTCTAATCGCTCAACGTTGCTCTGCGCCTTCCAGAGTGCGCGATATACTCAGTGCCTCTCTGCCGCCCTTCCGTATTATGGAAACAAAACTATCCAAAGCGCATGCGCGGAGGAAGAACCCACAAATGACCGCCACCGCCATCGAAGGATAGGCACAGAAGCGGCAGTGCGCAGGCGCACAGGGCTCAAAGCTTCCCTGCGGCGCCAAAGACTACTCTCTGCTTGCGGGAGGTCGCTGTTGCTGCGCTATGGCTGCGGAGTCCTCCTCCTCCTCCTCCTCCTCTGCTTCCCCGAGGCCGCTGCAACCTGTCACTCACCTCCTCTTCGATATGGACGGGCTCCTGCTGGGTGTGTAGCGAGGCTCGGCCGTGGTCTCGTCTCCTTCCTCCTTCTTCTTCCTGGCGGGGTCAGCGTGCGTGGGTGGGCCCCTCGGCCCCTCCGCGCCTCCCATTTGCGCGCCCGCAGCTGAGAGGCGTCACACGTGCTTCCCAAAAATGCAAACACAACGCACACGTGTCCTCTCTGTTCTGGAGGGCGGGGGGGGGGGGGAGGAAGCAGGAAGGAAAACTCTTTTTCCTTTGAGTTCCAAGGTTGCATTTACACCGTAGAATTAACTCAGTTTGACATTACTTCAATTGCTCTGGCTCATGGAATCGTGGGACTTGTAGTTTCACAAGGCCAGAGGGTGTCAGAGCCCTATATACCTCAACATCAAGGCAAAAAATCCTGCTACGTCCAGCTTTTAACTGGGTTATCAGAGTCCACACTCCGGGCCCTTCCACACATGATCTGAATGCGGACTCAGATAACCCAGTTCAAAGCTGATATTGTGGGATTTTCTGCCTTGATATTCTGGGATATTGGGTTGTGTGGATCTCAGTGTCCCACCAAACTACAACACCAAGATTCCATAGTAAGGGGTTATATGAGTCTACACTGACATATAATCCAGTTTGAAACATATAATCTGTGGGCCCTTCCACAAAGCCCTATATCCCAGAATATCCCACTGTATACTGTGGTAGACATATATATATGCAGTATACAGATGTCTGCATATAGAACAGGCATGAGCCTGGCTGTTAGGGAATGTGGGAGTTGAAGTCCTAAACACCTGGAGGGCTGGAGTTTTCCCATGCCTGTTATAGAATAATAGAATTATATGTATAACATAGATGCATAATACAGGAGACTCGGGTTGGATCTGTGCTGCCCTATATCCCAGGATCTGATCCCAGATTATCTGTTCTGACCTGGATTATATAAGGGCCCTTTCACACAGCCCCACCTCTCATAATATCAAGGCAGAAAATCCCACAGTATCTGCTTTGAACTGGCTTATCTGAGTCCACACTCAGGTAATGTGGGATTTTCTGCCTTGATATTCTGGGATATAGGGCTGTGTGGAAGGGCCCTAAATTTTATATGACAGTGTAGATAGGGTTAAAGGCCACTGTATTTGAATAAAAAGCCACCCAGGGTGCACCTATGCTGTTGAATTAATGCAGTTTGACATTATGGAATCATGAGCTTTAGTTTGACTGGGAGCCCTTCCACCCAGTTATGTTACCCAGAATATCAAGACAGAAAACCCCACAATATCTGCTTTGAACTGAGTTATCTGAGTCCACACTGTCCTGTATTCTGGTTCAAAGCAGAAAATGTTGGAATTTATTCAGCTGTGTGAAAGGGGTCTGAGTCCACACTGCCATATATTCCAGTTCAAAACAAATAATGTGGGATTTTCTTCAGCAGTGTGGAAGGGGCCAAAGAATTCAGCCTTCTGTGACACAGGCCCCTTCTACACTGCCATATAAAATCCACATGCATTACGCCATTGCAGTTGAAGTGGAGCGAAACCCATGTTAATTCCACAGTGCAGATGCACCCCGTGCTTGGCCATTGTCAAAATGCAGTTGGAGCTCCATATCCACGGATCCTGCATCCACAGCTAGAATGTATTTTTAACCCCACCCCCCGCCCTTGATTTGTCCATTTTATATAAGAGACTCCATTTCAATTAGCCATTGTCTATAATGGGATTTGAGCATCCATGGATTTGGGTATCCTCAGGGATCCTGGAACCAGTGGCTCTCAGTATCAATGGATACTGAGAGCCACTGTATACTGAGGTGGACTTATATATATGCAGTATACAGATGTCTGCATATAGAACAGGCATGGGCAAACTACCGACTGTCAGGAATTGTGAGAGTAGAAGTCCAAAACACCTGGAGGGCTGAATTTTTCCCATGCCTGTCATAGAATAATAGAATAATTGAATTATATGTATTACATAGATGCATAATACAGGAGACTTTCGGACTGGATGTGCGCTGCCCTATATCCCAGGATCTGATCCCAGATTATCTGCTTTGAACTGGATTATATAAGGGCCCTTTCACATAGCCCCACATCTCATAATATCAAGGCAGAAAATCCCACAGTATCTGCTTTGAACTGGCTTATCTGAGTCCACACTCAGATAACGTGGAATTTTCTACCATGATATTCTGGGATATAGGACTATATAGAAGGGCCCTGAGGCTGCAGATCAGAACTGAGAAAGGTATGGCTGCTATTCTGAGGATTGCCGCTAATCAAAGTGACTTTCCTGAGTATTGCTACATACCCTTTAAGGCAAGAATGTGAATGGTGCACTTCTTGATGTATTGCACCCTCAATCAGACCCTTTCTACACTGTCATATACTCCAGATTATGAAAGCAGATAACCGCATTATCTGCTTTGAACAGGATTATATGAGTCTACACTGCCATATAATCCAGTTCAAAGCAAATAATCTGAATTTTATATGGCAGCATAGAAGGGACCTCAGTTTATCTAATGGGGAGTAAATGCTTGGAAAGATAAGATCTTGCAATTCTTGGAGTAGTAGAGTAATTTTGCATCATGCTCAGAACAGTCCCATCCGATGATGTTGAGAGATTACTTGGAAGTTTGATTCAAGTGAAATGAGTAAGATGTCTGAGGTGCTGCTAACTGAACTTTGAAATTGAGCTTTGAGTGAACTACCCACACCCACTGATCCCACTTGGGGTGCTCTGAATCAGGTTAGTTGTTGAATATCACGAATGTATCCCTGCTTGTCACAAAGGACGTCTTAATTCGTTTTAGTTTGGCAGATTCCCAAAGATTTGTTGATTCATGATTGCTTTCCTTCCGAGAAATTTTTATGTGATCCTTGATACATAGTTATATAAAATAGGTATAAACGAACCAAACATTAACTGAAATAAATCAGCATGTGTTAGGCTTGATAAAAGAGCTAACCTTCCTTGTTATGAAGTACAGCTGAAGCATTTTCTTATGCTAAAGCCTTCAATGGAAAAGATTGTCCACAAGCTACTAGACATTCTATTACACAGTTTTGAACAGGAGACAGTTTGATAAATATTAAGTACTTGTTATAGTAAGGCCACTTTCTTGAAACATGGAGCTCAATGTAAATGGCCTTCAGCATTACAGTGATGAAAAGGCACTGTTTCACACTTGGTTGTCCCAAACTGTCACATTGCTTGAAGTTTTATAAGATTTACCTGTCTTTTGCTGCTTCTGTGAACACAAGTAATTTTTAAATTGTAGTTAGGTTTTAGTTGTTGTTGATGGGGTGTTTTTTTCCTTGCAGACATCATGGAATAATAAATAAATAAATAAATAAATAAATAAACTTTATTTATATTCTATCTCCCCTGGGGGACTCAGGGCAGATTCCAACAAACAAAAAGGCAAACATTCAGTGCCTCAATAACAGCAAATACAAATATAAAAATCCAAGATAACCCCACATAAAAAGCAACTTCAACATAACAACTATAATTTAAATAAAACAATCAATTGAAAATTATAACTAACATAGAACTTATAAAACATCCGAATTAATATATCAAAACAACATGAAGGTTCACAAATGTGTGCGTAGATTGTATTGCCTTTGTTTATTGATGTGCTGTGGGCTTGGCCTCATGTAAGCCCCTCGAGTCCCTTGGGGAGATGGTAGCGGGGTACAAATAAAGTATTATTATTATTATTATTATTATTATTATGGCCAAAGTTGTTAAATGGGCTCATGTGATCTAACAGGCCTGAGTACATTTATACTATTCAATCAGCAATCTGGTAGTAGTTCCTATTTATCTCATTATCCTCCTCTCCAGATGCTTGTGAGCAAAGATCGGTTTTCAGCTATTTTTTGAAGGAGAGAAGGGAGGGGCCAGCTTTATTTCTTTAGAGGGGGAGTTCTAGAGGTGGGGGGGGGGGAACCACGGAGAAGGCCCTCTCTCTCGTTCCTGCTCGTCGTGCTTGAGATGGAGGTGGGACCAAGAGCAGGGCCTCCTCTGATGACTCCAGTGCCCGAGTTAGTTTATAGGTGGAGATATGGTTAGTCAAATAGCCTGGACCTGTGTCGTTTAGGGCTTTAAAAGTAATAACCAGCACTTTGTATTTAGCCTGGAAGAGGCCAGTGGAGCTGCCATAGCATGTGAGTGGATCTCTCCCTCCAGTTAGTAATCTGGCTGCTGATCTCTGAACCAGTTGAAGTTTCCTAACTGTCTTCAAAGGCAGCCCCACGTAGAGAGCATTGCAGTAGTGTAGACAAGATGTAACTAAAGCGTGGACTACCATCGCCAAGTCTGGTGTCTCAAGATATGGGCACAGCTGCTGCACAAGTATTAGTTGTGCAAAGGCGCTCCTGTCCACCACTGTCACCTGGGGTTCCAGGGACAGCGATGAGTGCAGGATCATCCCCAGCCTTCAGACCTGTGTCTTCAGGGGGAGTGTGACCCATCCAACACAGACCGTAATTTCCATACCATGATTCACCTTCTGGTTGCATCAGAAAAGTCCCACAGTTTTTAGAGATAGCTCTTATATCACTTCCTGTTAATAAGTTGAAATAATATGCATTTGTAACAGGTACGCCTGTTGTAAGTGTAGTTTCTTCTATTTAAAATTGCCCATCAAAAGCTACTTTAACGAAGTCACATTGACTGTTCCATTGTTATCACAGAATTCACCTATAAATGTTATTTATACTGCAGGGAAGTGTGAACAAAATCCCTTTCCTTGGCCAAGTTTCACAAACTACCTCTGTTTAACATCTGGGAGTGTGAAAGCAGGGGTAGTCAATTTTTGGCAGGCAAGCTGTAGTGCTAGCTAGTGGGCTATATTCAATTTGGCATGTCACGAATTATGGAAACATTTTGTTTAATGTAAATCTGATAATGTAGAAGATAGTTTGTTTTCTAGTTATTTTATATAGCTGTTTTGCTTACAGCTTTTTGTAATTGTTGTATTTTTAATATGCTGTTGAGAATCTTGCATTAAAGCAATGATTATATTCATGTTTCTGTTCCAGAATGGAGTTACAGCTTTATGCCTTCCATAAATAGATTCTTCTCCTATTTATAGGGTGCTATTATATGCTGCAAAGAAACATATTTCTGAAGTAGTCTTGCCTTCGACA